CAGGCGGGCGATTTCGTTCTCTTCCCTTGCTAATTCGGCATTAAATCTTCCCCTCCACTCGGCAATTTGCCGATCCCGGATGGAATCAGCTCTTCGACCGAGATACCATCTCGGCTCTGATCCCCGATGTTGTGCCTTTTTGGAGGAAAACAAAGCAATTATTAGAAATATTGCGACTCAGTGATTCGAAACTGAAAAAAGATAAACTTCAAGTTACTTACCAGTGATGACCGCAATATAAAATTGTATAACAGAAGTAAAGAGTTCCCAACAAATGAAGAGTGATTTGAAGTAAACAACAAACATTCTCAGCTCTTTAAACCAAATCAGCAGGCCAGATTGTAACAACACATAGCAACCTAGATTGGCAAATAAACGCTATTATAATATAAGAATCTATTCCTTATTTTATAATATACAAATATTTACTCTTTAATTAGAGAATGATAGAGTGATTTTTTTTTTGTTAAAGTGTTGCGATAGATCTATCAAACATAACATACAACTAAAAACATAAATGGAAGAAAAAGAGCAACTCAGTGTATAATACTACTAACAAAAACTTACCAATCAAGATGGAGGGTTGCTTCCACGTTTGTACAGCCTTCATGGGGAAGAGAATCATATTTAGAGGAATTCACGTTCTAGATAAAGTAAGAAAGAATAAGCATGTCAATAACTGAAATTTTAGGTTTGAAGAAGTGGAGAAAGGTTACCCTATATATAAACTAAATAGTAAATACATATAAAGACGTATTATGGTTTTTTCGATATTGTGCCAGTGCGTATCAATATCAAAGGTTTGGATAAAAAAACGTAAACAAAACCAGAACATAAAAAAATATAGAAACACATCGACAAAGAATACAAAATCTAGAAAACATAAAAAAACACAAAATCAAACCAATCATTGATCACAAAAAAGACGACCAAAGTGATTTAGAAAAATCCATGCTCATGAGCACGATGATCAAAAGTCACATAATCAAAAAATATTAATCAATGTGAATACGCTATAAGAGAATAAATATAAATGAGGAGATACATACGACAGAGCAAATTT